TGTTCTTTTTATTACACTTTCGTATTTAAATAATATTGACAAACAAGAAACAACATCCAAATTAATAAGCTTAATTACAGGAGTTCACGATGCCCAAATCCCAAGTATTTATTTAATTAGTAGCAAATGTCATATCAATATCTTGTATGTTATTATTAATTTATTAATTATTGTGTTCATGTTGACTTGTGTAGTAAAGATCCAAATTTTTTTCCAATATTTTCATGTTGTGTTGGCTAGATCTCATTTTAAAAACGTTACGGGAGTTTTTTTGACAAAATCGTCATTTCGAAAGTCCACATTGACAACATAGGTGAATGAAATCCACAATAATAATGCTAAATTAGCCATCATAAAAAATTTATGTGCATGTGCGTAGATGTTGGGAAGCACTAGCGTTTTTTACTAATCTCTGCTGTAATCTACTAATTTAGGATTTTTTTTTAATTTTTTTCTTATATATCAAAACTGAGGTTCGAACAACCGTAAGACGCCATACAAAAGCATGCACAATGGGCAGCCACAAGCGCGGCTGCTTATTCGCTAGAGAAAGGACTAGGAGGACAACCACAAGTCGGTTGTTCACTCAAATATCAATGAAAAGCAAAGAGAGCGCATGGGAATTCGACACTACGGTCGGCGAGAGGGTCTCCGCGTCGGCGCATGCGTGCTGGACAACTCTCAAACTCCAAATGCAAAAAAAAAAATGTCTCTCAAAGCCCCAGTCTCCGCATCCCAAACTCGGCTAGCACATCGGGTATAGCGCAAAAATTGTGCGATAGACATGAGTTTTTACCTTATGGATTTTCATTTTCGAAAATCAACATATTCTTCGCATTCCAAATGAAATATACGGTAGCCGCTAGCGCCAGTTTCTTCAACTTAGTTTGTCAACTAGCTCCTCTAGCCTCTTTTTTGGTCCATTTGAGAGCCCCTTTGAAAGTCGACGGTTATTTTTTTTTTACTTTAATTTGGTGATACATAAGTGCAATTGAATTTTATTTTAATTGATTTGATATTGTTTGAGGTCAAATGTTCGTCCCATGTTAATTGAAATATTTGTCCACATTATATTAAAAGACCAACACATTGGCCTCTCCATTGCCCACAAATTATTATTCCATTATTGATTCAACCATTTTATTATTACTATATATTACTGTAAACAAAATCGGGCATACACACGCGCAGGCACACCAACTAAGAAATTCAACCATATTATTAAATTAGTGCTTCCCAAATTATTAAATTAATTGCATCGAGCAGCTAACTAACTAAAGTATCCAAAAAGGATTAACATCCACGTGTGTACTCTTATCACAATTCAGTATCAGACAAAAGCTTCACAAAAACTTAGGCTAAATCATTTAATATTGAGATAGTGATTATTATTACTATTATTATTATTATTATTATTATTATTATTATTAGAATATTACTTGTGAGTTGACCAACATCGTTTATATAGGAAAATATGTTTAACTTATAAGTTTAGTGGACTACTCCTTCTACCACCAATTGGTTTTGAAATGAAAACTCACTTGAGCTTTATCTGAATTTTCCTTGCTTATGGTGCGTTTTACGTACATGGGACCGCACCCAACTTCACGTGCATGAGACTTCACCAATTTTTCTCTCGTTTCTTACATGTTATCAGAGCGCATACGTGGGCCGTGGACCGCACCCATTTTGCCCATATTTCTTACATGGTATCAGAAGATTCAGAACCGACTTACGTGTATCCTGGCAATGACGTACTTGTTACCCAGCCTAGTTGGGCTTGTGCTCTCGCTCTGTATGGGCTTGGGCTCTTAAGAAAAACTCACAAGTGAGTGGGCATATTAGAATATCACTTGTGAGTTGTCCCACATCATTTATATAGGGAAATTAGACTTAAGTTATAAGCTCAGTGGGCTACTGGTGTAGATTATTATTATTATTATTATTATTATTATTATTATTATTATTATTATTATTATTATTATTATTTAATGGCTTGGTGGACAAGTTAATGTTTAGGGTTAGGGGCCTTATATAAAGGACTTCCTCTAGTTTATTTTCCTTGGTTGTTTATGAATAAAATATGAATTATATCGTGTTTTGATGTTCTTGAGATTGAGATCTCATTAATATCGTCCCACTCGTACGCTTCCCTACATCAGCTACTCCTCCTACCACCAATTGGTTATAGAATGGAACTTCACTTTGGCTTCATCTGAATTTTTCCTATTATAGTGCACTTCACCTGCGTACTCAAAAAAGTAGTAAAATCATGTATATGTTTAGAGTCCTTTAGATGTTAGCGGATTTAAATAAAATCATCAGATTGAACCTTGATTAAAGGTTTGATCCGTCAATTTCGTTAACTAACTTGTTTGGTTAAAAACTTATTTCATTAGTTTTTCAGGTTCAAAATGCTAATTTTGAAAAAACAAAAAACAAAAACAAATTCAATATAAAACATTGGGTAGAGTAGATTTTTAAACTAATTCAGTAATATAAAATAATTACATAAATCGCTACTTACCAAAATTTATTTATTTCTTTTATTTTTTTTTCTTTTTTTTGTAACAAATAGTCATCAAATTAATTGTTACTAGCTGATATCGCTGTCAACTAATATAATATCCAAATACCCTTATCTGGAAGAAAAAAAATGAGTTAAGGTATGTTAAAGATGATTGACCTACTGAGTTAATATATAAAGTCTAACATTTATTAATATATTAAATCTACCAAATAAGTCCTTTAATTTTTATTTTTATTTTTTTATTTTTATTTTTTTTTTTCGAATTTGCACTAATGAATTGGGAACAGGCTTGCTTCAACCAGTTCAAACATGACTAAGGGTATGTTTGGTATGACATATAAGCTAGCTTATAGCTTATTTGATTAGCTTATAAGCTTCCTATATTAAATAAGCCCTGTTTGGTAGGACGAGCTTATTTAAAAAGCTCGAGCTTATTTGATAAGCTTGTTTAGGTAGCGTTTCAAAATAAGCTCGTTGAATTTTCTATTTCAGCTAGCTTATAAGCTACTTTTACCAAACACTTTTATCATATAAGCTAGCTTATAAGCTATAAGTCATAAGCTATAAGCTATAAGCTAGCTTATCACATATAAGCTATAAGCTAGCTTATCAGCTATCAGCTAGCTTATCAGCTAGTTTTACCAAACACACCCTAAGTACAGTTAGATAAGTACTGTGAGCATATTAAACGTTCAATTAAATCAATGTTGATCCAATAAGATCTGGGAAAATCAACTTTAGTAGTACTATTTATTACATTTGGGAGAAATAGTTAAAACAAAGGTACTTATTACTACTACTAATAATACAACATTAGATGACTACAACATATGGAAGATGCTATAGTCCCGTTACGGAACCATTCTGTCGGAGTTTGTAATCGTTAGATCAACTATCCCGACGGTTACATGATGATCTAACGGTTACAAATCCCGACGGAATTGATCCATAACAGGACCGTAACATTTTCCACAACATATAACTAAATTTGAACAATAAAGATGATAATCTTCTCCTTTCATCGTTTTACGAGTGGTTTTTCATGTTCTTTCACAGTCTATCGCATAGTAACACGGCTAACTTGACACTAACGGCGCAAATCCAGGGCAAGTATGACATAGTTATTTAAATTATTTGAAAAGTACATTATATATAACTAAAAAAATCAATCATTTAATAAAATAATATTAATTTTAGAATATATAAATTTAAGAAAAATTTACAATACAATTTTTCATATTTATGTAACTTTCATATACTAAAATATAATTAATTACTTGTAATCATAGATACTATACCATAGAATAGTTACGATATATATTATTAATCAATTAATATAAAATGTTACAAATTGTTTTTCATATTTAATCCGAAAAAAGGTGGGAAACGAACATTTTTTGGTATTAAATTCTTTGGCACTCTTTTTTTATAAAAAATAAAAATAAAAATAAAAATAAATTGTAGGCTCTTGAGACCAGTGTTTTGTGACCCGGACTGGCCCAGCGGGTCGACACAGGACCCGGTCGACCCGGAGCCGGAACCGGTCCGGGTGGGTTAATTGGACCGGGCAACAACGGACCCAGTCAAAACCCGGTCGACCCGGTCTTGACCCGGTCGACCCGGGGCATTCATCCGGCTGGGTCAACCCGGTTGACCCGGTCTATATGTATTTTTTTATTATTTTTTTTAATTTTCTTTTTCTTTTTAAAAAATAAAATTATGTATATATATTTATATGATAAATATATACATATTATTACCATTTTAATCTACAAATTTTACATAAAAAATATTTAAATTTGTTATTTTTGTGTATATTTATATATCACAAAATACTCTATATATAATTTTATAAATTTTAAAATTAATTATCTAGTTCAGCAATTGACCCAATGACCAGGCGGTTGAACCGATGACCCGGTGACCGAAGACTTGCACGAGTCGATTACCGGGGCCGGGTTTAAAAACTATGCTTGAGACCCACAAGTACTAATAATAATAATAATAAACAAGAAGGAAGTCTACTTAATGCCGCAAGAAGTTGGTAAAGTCGGTTACAAAAGAGAAGCATCAAATGTAATTTAAGAACTTAGATACATTTAATTCAAAAGCTCTATAATAATTTTCAGCCCATTAAATAAAATTAAATATTCAGATAAAAGACACGAATCTTACCACACATATAGTTATTTGACAAAATTGTCATAAATTCTTTAGCTGGTTGTTGGAGTCAATTCTTTAATGGCAACCGAAAGATTAAAACATTGAACCAAAACAAATGTTAAAAAAAATAAAAAAAAATAAAAAAGTAAACTAACATGAAAGAAATTCTCGAAAAGAGAAGAAATTCATATGTTTTGATTGGTTAACAGAATTAGAAGGGGGCTACATTTGTGGTATCACAACATGATCAAAAATGAATAGGCCATGCATGAAAAAGCCCAAGCCTGTTTGCAGGTAAAGAGTGTGATCAAGTCCCGAAAACATGTCTGTGCACAGGCTGTGTATCTAAAGAGTCGACTACACGTATCCAAGGTTTGTCTATCACCAGTAGCGAATTTTTCGAAAGATGTTCCACCAACAAAACAGGGTCTCTGAAAGCACAAAACTCGAAATTTTTTCGTTTGCTTTCGAGATCCTGCAGTTTACGTTTAACTACCCCATTGCCCTGTCCGATTCTCATGTCGACGTCATCCTCTTTATCGACAGGCATTCCAAAATCGATCAAGCACATTGCCCTGGAGCGTAAAATATTTCAATCATCAGGGTTTTTTTTTTAAGGCGAGATAATTTTTTTCTAGTGGCGATTCAAAATTGCTCATAAAAATCAATACGTTTTACAAAAGGCTCACACCACAGAGAACAAGAAGAATTCATTTTCGATTATTTTGAAGGAAATTTTTTAATGTAGTGAAAATTTGAACTGAAATTCATATACGAATATATTTTAAGAGATTTTGTCGATGAGCATGCTCATTCAACCAGACTAGGGATATGCATTGGCTTCAGTGTGAGGATAGGTCGTAAATTCTTCTGTTTCTACAAAAGCCTGTCCTTTGGCTTAATGTACTTCAATACAGTTAATAGGCACAGAAAGCCACCAGAAAAAAATAAACAAACAAATAGATAAAAGATGCACATCTAACCATTCAATAGAAAGTCCTAATTGATGATCGGTGGGTTGCGTTGTCCAAAACATTGAAAAAGAAGGTGAAGAAAAAGACAAAGAAAGAAGGATTTGAGAGTTTCTACTCAAGTGGGTGGCATCAACCAAGCCAAGAAAGAAATCTCTTGGTACAGCCTGGCAGCCACACTAGATAGATAACAAATAAGATCAGACGTGCTATTGCGATTAGATATGGGAAGTTTTTGAAAAAAAAATAAAAAAAACGAAATTGCCTCGTCGATAAAAAAAGAGAGTTTTGAAACTGTGAATGTATATAAGATAAATATATAAGGATTAGAGTTGATAATGATCTCAAAATACTAAAATATTGATTGGTAATGATTGAGATATGTGAGTGGATGATTTTGTTGGAAAACCGAAAACATATAGCGATGATTAACTTCATTTTTCAATTGTTCAAGTGGGATAGTAGAGAAAAAAAGTTAATGAAATGAGTAGTAGCTGTTGTATAATCTTTTGTTTTATTCAGAATTTCAATCACCACTTAAATCCTAAATTTTCCATTTAGAAACTTAAAAAGTAAAACATGATTGCGTCTAACAAAATTTGGCAACAAAAAGCATCTGATAAAGAGATATATTACCTGGGACTGTAGACAACGACAGAAGACGAGCTAGAGGATGGCTGGAAGGAAAGACCAATAACTTCTCCAGGAAATTCTTGATATGTTTTGGGCAGAGAAAAAGTGTGACGTGTGGACCACTCTCCCAACTGCTTGGCCTCCACGTCTAATGCATACACCTGATTTGAAGAGGTGGAGATTATAAGAACACTGCTAGTTCGAGGGGTAAAACCACCAGCAGTTACAGAGGCTCCATCCAATCTTGATATAAACCAGTGTTGCCTGTAACAACAATAATTATGTTACATCAAGCAGTTTCATCAAACTTTCCACAGAAAATAAATAAAAAATGGGGCTTTGCCGTTTCTTCATACAGCAGACTCCTATACCAATTTGACAAGTGCTGCTGAAAATAAATTCAAAAACACAGAAGCTACATTTGTTTTAATTGATCGAGTAGGCATATCCCACAAAAGCTAGTAAAATTGAGAGGTATTAATATCAATAACCTAATGTTGAGGGGTAGAAAAAAATGCATATCCATCCTCTTATATTCACAGCACAGTAATAAATTGATATTTCATAAATGCAGATAACTTGATCCACACTGCTAATTTACACCATTCAACCAAGGAAGAAGAGTACCGTACCTTAGTGTCTCAAGATTGAATATATACACATCTCCAAAGCAGTTGATGGCAGCCAACCACTGGCCATCAGCACTTGTGAACATTTTTGTGATGGGAGGTTCACTAGGCGGTAGAGTCTCGTCATCGTCTTTGCGACAAGGAGTGAAAGCATGCACTAACTTCGTACTTCCCACATCTACCATCTGCAATGTGATTATAATCTTAATCAAATAATACTTAGCTGCTAAATACTGTCATTCCCAAGCCAACATCAAAAGAAGCTCCACAATGGTATTTTACTTAATTATTCAATCTCCATTTCATTTTTTCATCTACTTGGTAAAATTTTATTATTCTATCACACATATTCTAATAAGAGTGTAGAAATAAGAACTCACACTCATGCAAAGGTATTCGTGTTTAATAAAAAAAACAAAAAAGTGAAAATTTATTGATAAGGTGTATGGAAGGAGAAGGTAAAACACAGCAACTCAATTAACTGAGTTATGGAAATCTGTTACAGGATAATTTCTATCAAGAATGCTTAGCATGGCGAGGACACACATGAATAAAAGAAAATTATACATGAGCATCAGTTCCCATGATAAACACATACTCCACAATGAGGCCCTCAGTCTAAAATGTCCTGGGCATTTAAAGTTCTGTGAGCCATCTAATGTATACAATAATGTTCACCTACCCACGGTGGGCACATGTTAATATGCCCACCGCTTATGTGGCATGCACACATTGGTGATGTTAATATGTTCAAAAAAATACATCACCAATGTGTGCATTACTCCTAATGTATAATGCCACTCAATGCTGCCAATAACAAAAGGCTGGATGGACCCAATCTCAACGAGAAAAAGCCCCCATTTACTAAAGGTTCAATTGATGAATAAGAACCTTTCTCAGTTGGCATACTTGCCCTTCCCCGACATAAACAGATATTGTTCGAAAGACTCATAGTAAGTCGCCAATTAATACAAACAAAAAGCAAGCATAAAAATAATCATGAAAATCAAGAATAAGATAGCTAATACATACATATATCCTTCTGTCATGCCCAGCTAATAGCAATCGTGACGAATCAGAAGTGAAAACCATGTAGTGGGCAAATGGCAATTCCTTAGGCAGCTGCCTTTTATTTACAGTCCAAGAACCCTTGCCCGATTTATTTCTCTTCAATTCAAATAAACTAGGTTTCACATGGTCAGAGTAGGCAAATGAAGTGCCTGACGAAGAAATTCTACTGCATATGATCTTCCGAGAAACCTTACATTTAACTCGAGCTATTAAATCTGTGCTTGCAAGCCCACCAGAAGTTCCTGGACCAAACTCAGATGCAGCATGGCTTTTTAGACGCACACAATAGATGTCTAACGAGTGGGCAGCCTGGATCAAAAGCAATGGAGTCTGACTGAAAACTGTTTTTTGCACAAGTTGCATCGGCATTCTCTGTGGTGCAGGGCATATATCATGCGGCGAAAACTTGGTGAACTCATTTACGGAATATGCATAGAGTTTAGTGTCATCACCGGCAGAGATAAGCATCGGCACACTCAAATGAGCCCACTTATGGTAGCTGAATTCAAGGGGCTTCATGCGACCTCGTGCCCTCTTCACCTTTACATCTGGTGGCAGATCTGATGACAAAAAGAAAACAAGTGAATTTGATTTTAGACGCTAAATTGATATAGAGAAGAGAAAAGTAGGTGAAATTAAATGGCAATGAGGACCAAAATCTAATTGATGAAATCACCAGAAATTAACAGTGTACGAGAGCCTACCTTCATGGCAGATGGGTGTAGCCACAGTCAATGCCCTCACATCATGTGTATGAGCTCTTACATAACCAACATATGTCCATTTCTTGATAACGTCAGGAGCCAACTTTCTGCTAGTGGAGCCAACTACCTCACCCGAAAGTTTATACAGTATGACCTACATAGTAAAGAGAAGCAATAACCATATAAAAAGTTGTTTGAAATTATACCCCAAAGTAATCTATATAAGAATCTCCAAACAAAACCTATTTCTACATATAATAACAAAGCATGAATGTACCTGACCATCAGAACCGGCAGAAAAAACTATATTGTGGCTAGGGGCTGCCGCCAATGCATTGACATCACCCTTATGATAAGAATGTGCCTGCAAAAGGGTTCCAAACTGTCCATCCCAAAACTGCACACTACCAGAACTATCCCCACTAACAATGGTCCCACATCTGAAACAAAAAACTCAATGAGAGAAGCACATAAAAGCCTAAAGAACTCACAAGTACACAATTAAGTATGTGCAGAAGATACAGGACGGCAATCTGTTAACAAAGTAAGGTTGGAACTTGATACCTCAATGCAAGTAAAGACCATATACATAAATCTTTTCCACTGCCCAGGCCTCCAAGCCCAACAGTTATTCTGTAGACCTCATGAAAAGATTTCACATCCCAGCATCTAATGAAGCTATATTTTTATATTCCAAAAAAAACAAAAAGAAAAAATAATGTTTAGAACTTTCAAAAGAGAAACAAAAATAACTAAATGTCTTAGTAACACCCATTCACTAGTTATGCATACCCATCACTGCTCCCAGAATAAATCCTATTCGAGTCTGGACTCCAAATTACACTAAGGGTACGTCCTGCAAACAGTAGACAATGGTATAAGCAATCTTATAAACCTCAACCAAGGATGGCATGCAAGGTTTCTCGAGAATGCAGAGCAGAATTCTCACCACTAACCCTCGGCAACGCCCTACTGTAAGTAAGTTTTCCTTCATCTGACACGTCGTATATTCGCACACAGCCATCATCACAAGCTAGTGCCAGACGAGTATACTTTTCATCATCTTGGATTTGAATTTCATGTGGGCCTTTATTGTCACCTTCATCTTCACTTTCACTACTCTCCACTTCATCAACATCACTAGTGATTTCAGGACTAGAATGACCATTCTCATGAAATCTCATTTTTTTATTACTACTATGTTGTAAATCATTACATGGCTCTGCAGCAATCTGCCAAATCGAGACGCCGATGGAATCTAAAACTTGCTGCAGTAAAGAATGCAACAAGACATAATGCCAAAAAACACTACATCAAATCCTTTATTCGACATAATTCCAGCAAGAACATTTTTCATAAGCTTTACATCTGAATATAAAAATGCCCAAAGGTATAACAAGAGGGATAATAAATATTGTTTGCCGCTATATAACTATATAACAAGTGCATAGAAAGTAAAAGAACCCAATTACAAAACCATAAAGTAAATGTGTTTGAAAGAGCACTCTGTAGAAATCCATTTCAGTCTCTAGCTCTTAATGAAACATGGAGGAGCCATAGCTCATGGCAGACATAGCTCATGGCATCATTTACACACAAGTTTTGGTCATGTATGAGTTTAGATTCCCATAGGTCTCCTACTACATTTGCATCCAATATGGTGAACTTAAAATGTTTTAGTTCTCATTGGCAGTACGCTATTAGCACGAGAAATTACCTTTTGCCTCAAATCGAACAAATCCCACTCTGAAACGGTTCCATCAATGCTGGAAGACAACAGCCGGCCCAACGGCCCACCTCTCAGCCCGGACCGACACCACACCAACGAAGACACCCTCAAATTAGGGTCCCCATGTATAGTCTACACATGAACCCCAAAACACAAAATATCAAATTCGCTAAGAAAAGAACCATTTTTTTTTTTCTTGTTAAAACAAAAATGAAAGAGGGCTTTTCAGTATAAAATCATAAAAAAACTGAAAAGAAGAGAGTTCTGTGGCGTACAAGCTGACAGTGCCAGCCGACGGAGCCGGGAGAAACGAGCCAAATCTCAAGCGAGCCATCTGCGCGGGCGGCGGCTACTTGCGAGCCGTCGGCGCTGGTGGCTAGGGCAACGACAGCTGAGGGCTTCCACTCAACGGAGCTGATTCTGTGAACCTTGAGCATTTTCCTGAATCGAATTATCTCCTGAAATGAGCTTCGATGAGAGAATAAGCATTAGAGAGAGAAGGAGAGAGATGAGAATGGGGGCGAAAGAGGAAAAGTGGTGGAAATAGGTTTTTGAGGGTTTAAGCGCAAACAAAATTGATGTAACCCAATTTCGTCGGGCCGAGTTCACAGGTCAAGTTTGTCAGCTGTCTATTTTAGTCATGCGGCCCTCGCCGCGAATATGTGGGCCGATCAGCATTTTCAATCTGGGCCAGTTGATATCGAGCAGGTCATATATATGAAAAAAAAATAAAAAAAAATCACCATGTGTTTAAAAAATACTAAGCACCAATGGAATATACGGAATAATAATAATATTAAATAATTAGAAATAAATAAAAATTATAGTATTTTAATTAAATAAAACAAACCAAAAGAAATGATCCAAACTAATCACAAAAATGTGAGTTTACAATAATACACATCTTGTCTACAACTCTTGAAAATTAGTATAATGTGAAAATTTGTATATATCCTTTCAACTCTATGAAGTAATACGAATTTAAAAAAAAAAAATATTAATCTAGTAATGGACCTTTGTCTGGCTCACACTACTTGATCTGCTATCTGAACTGTTCGTAGACCCGCAAACTGGACCGGGAGGAGTTCCCGATGTTAGCACTCCAACTATCAAGTCAGTTCACAGATGAAGAAGATGATGAACACTGTATGTAAAGAATGTAATGTTTCTTTACATACTGCCCGGATGACCTTCTTAGACTGTTCGAATTGCTCGTCCGTAATTACCATTTTCTTTTACTATATGGATGTTACTGGTAACCCTTTTTAATAAAGAGGTTCTTTTCTTGTCCAAGTCTCATTACTAGGAAAGAGATCTTCATGTTTCTTGTTTCCCTAATATAACACGTATCTTAGATCTTCAATTAATTAGAGAGACACACTTATGGTAAAACTCTATTACCTTCTTTATCAAGACTCAGCAGGTAGGTAGACTCATCAACCTCCTAACTGAGCAACTCTGCATCTTATCGGGTCACTCATACCTTTGTTACGAACAAATCGTGACGACTACTCCTTTGACCGAACTCCTGAATGTGCCCAATTTGCTAGTTAGTAACAAGAGTTGGCATGTACTTCGATCTGTCATTCCAAACTTCTTGACAGGATCAACCCTTACCGCTGAGCTAAAAGCTATAGTACTAAACCGGTTGAATTTGAACTATTCACTTTGACACGATCCGCCGAGCTAGTACGAGTGCTATATCACATTAATTAATGTGTAATTAGAACTTGAAAGAATTTATGCTTTCTTGACCTTCACTTCAGTCAACATCAGTCTTGCTTCAAATTAGTGCTACCATCACTTTGACACGATCCGTTGAGCCAATTGTATGTTTTCCTCTTCTGCATCACTTCATTTTCACAAAACTCTTGATGTTAAGATGATTGTATTTGTATGAACTGAGAGAGATGGCCTTGCAGTAATACATATAGAATGATACACATAATCCTAACACTTCTAATATTCCACATGTTCAAATATAACTTATTTTTCAAGTCAAACATCAGTAATTTGGCACTATAACATTAATAATGCGCTGAGCCTACGTGGCTGCTTCTGGTGCTTCGGAATCCTACTTGACGAAGAATCATGCTTCGTAATTAGGTTTGGACAAATAATATTGATATATTAATAATTAATA